TACTATTTCTGCTGCCCTTCAAAAATTATTTTCATTTCTGTTCTTTTTAAAACGTGTTTCCCAATTGATAATAGCATCGACGGTAGATCTATTAATTTGACAGGGACTTAGAGTGAGCCCCATGATCTACCTGAACGAAATACTCAACCTGTTGAAGAGTCAAAATACATGTGACTGACTACTAAAAGACGACAAAACAGACTGCAGAGACAATTTGAATTAGCGCAGATCTTCACCTATTCCCTCCTCTGTGTGTGTGTGTGTGTGTTTGTGTGAGTGTGTGTGTGTGTGTGTGTGTGTGTGTGTGTGTGTGTGTGTGTGTGTGTGTGTTTCTGCGAATTCCTCAACTGGAGCCTATTGTGTAGTGGTTTAGAGTACCTTGCCAATGCTCGCAAAGGACGTGAGATATCTAACGCGTGTAGAGGGGGGGTTGTTTTTTTTTCTTTTTTTCAAAAATTAATCGATAGTCTCCGTCTGTCTGCTGCATCTCTCTCGCCCCCGGTTGGCCCTGGCAGGCAGGGTCGAAGCAGCCCACCCCCAAAATGGTCTACGGGCGCTTAAAATGTCTACAATTACAAATTACTTGATTGAGATTCCTCTGATCCAGGTGAATCTGTTCAGAACAAACCTATGTCCCCAAGAGTTCGGTGGCTGCTTGGCATGTGCTGGCTGTTCCCGAAGGCCAGGTGGTGTTGGTAAGGACACGACATAATTAATTAATATATCATAATAAATACATTAGGGTACGTGCACATTCAACTCAGTGTGGTGGACGACAGGAGTTGGGTTGGATAGAAGAAAGAAAATAGTAATAATAAAGTGCATGTCGAAAATACATTTCTGAACTCAAGATGGGATAAAGGTATAAGGATGGAAAGGATTTTTTTTTCGTAATATGTATGTGTATTTGTATTTTATTATTTTTTTATTTTTTTATCTATATGAGGGGGGGGGGGGGGGGTGCTTGCCTTAGGTTTGTTTGTTTTCGTTTTTGTTTGTTTGTTTGTTTGTTGTTGTTGTTCGTTTGTTTGTTTTTTCCTTAGGGGGGGGGGCGGTGTCTCCTTGTTTTGTCGGGGGGGGGGGGGGGGGGGTCTGCTTGTTTGTTTAATATTTCTTCTTTTTTTTTTTACTGGGGTGAGTTTTTTGTTTTCGTTTGTTTTTGGCTGTTGTTGTTGTTGCTGTTGTTGTTGTTGTTCTTGTTATTGTTGTTGTTGTTGTTGTTTATTGGGGCGGGGGTAAATAGAGTTTTTCATTGGGACATTCCCTCTACCCAGAATGTACTAACAGTGAAAATTCCCCGATACCTCAAATACTATTGTCTCTGGGGTGACAAAGTGCAAGGAGAGGACAACCACAGCCAAGACAGCCTGCGGTCAATTCATGGACCCGTATTTCACTTTCCATACAATCATTATTTTTTGCTTGTCTTCTTGGGTGCTGTTTTTATTGCTTTCGTAGAGGCTGCTATTTAATCTAGTTGCTTCTTTTTCATTTCTTTCTCAAATGCGTAAATAGTGGTACAAGGTGCATGCATAATAGTTGTTATACTATGATGTGATGTTTGTTGTTTTAAGGGGGAGGGGGGGCTACACCTGAAGGCTATCTCGCACCGAATTTTACCAAATTTCACACATATAACAAGCATAGTAAGGAGTCTTAAAATCCGCAATCAAATTTGAGAAAAAGTTTTGTTTCCATGGACACGGCGGCCATATTGGATTTTGTTGACAGGTCTTACGTAATGAATGCTGCACTTATCGCTCATGGAAATTTATTGGGTCTTTTTGCATGAGTGTTCACAAACATTAGATCTAAAAATGTATCTGTTGTTTTTTTCGTAAACGAATTAGAAATTTTTTTATAAATTATTTCCTGAGGTAGCAGTCAAGTTTGCAAAAAATCCGTGAAAATCCACACTCCAGACACCACCAACAAAAATCTATTCCATATATCAAAAATTCAACAGACAAATTTTTAGTATTTTCTATTCGGTGAAAATTTCATGAAGATTAGAAAAAAAAATGGTGGAGTTATTCAAAAAAGTATAGAGAAAAGTCGCGTTTTGAGAAAACGGCCGATAAAGAAAAATAAAATGCTGACTTTATGAGGAAATGGCGGTGACAAACATGCCGGGTATGGGGAAAAATACGGTTTTGGGGGGTTCTTATGCAATGAAATAGTTGAAGGAGAGGCTGACGAAGCTAAAAATGCCTACAACTCAAATTCCATAAGCCGAACTTTGACTTTGGGGGTGTAGCCCCCCCCCCCCCCCCTCTT